GGCGAGCCTCGCCTCGGCCCGTCCAGCCGTGAAGTGTCGCTTTCGTCGTCCGCTCCCAGACCCTGACCTGCCCCTTGCCACCTGTCCAGAGCTTCGTTCCCTGGATGGCAGGCCTAGGGCGCAGTCCGCATTCGGACACTTCCGGATTCTGCGGGTACCGTGTTGGCAGTGTCACGTGGGGCAACGCTGGCCAGTCCGCGAAGCCCGGCGGGATACGCCCGGGGCGTGGAGTTTAAGGGGTCCTGGATCGCCCTGATGAGAGGTGGTTTTTTTGTCGAACTCACACCAAGCTCCAAGCGCGCTCCTCTCGCCTCTCTCTTGGGATGGATCCTGCTCCTCCTTAGTGGCTTGCATCCACTGACCCGGCTTTAGTTGCTCTTCAGCGCTGGGGGTCTAACCCAACACTACCATAACCAGAGGTGCACTCGGAGCTCGCAGCGCGGACCTCCCAAGTAGTCTCTGCTCTTGCTTCTGTAATTTCATCCCCCTTCCTTATTGTATTCTCAGTGCTAGGACGACGCCCGGGATTTACCTTTTTACTTTATTATGATTTTTTTAGCGATGAAGTCCCTGTGTTGCCCAGGTTGCTTCTGAACGCCTGGGCTCAAGCACTTATCCCGCCTCGGCCTCCCAAAGTGCTGGGATTACAGGCATGAGTCACCGTGCACAACCTAAATAAATGTTTATGGATTAAATGGTCTTGACCCAGGAGCTTCTGGGAAATTAGTAGTGGTCAGTTTCAGTCTTTCGTTTTCTTTCTCTAGGTAGTTTCATCCTTTCATACTTGAAACAGATGTCTATCAAATGCACTGTATACTTTGTTTCACATTTTGTTCCAGAAAGCCAATTCGATGTTAAATTTAGATGTCACAAAAAACTAAAAACCTGACAGGTATCCAAGATCATTCTGTTTTAGAGACTGAAAGTTGATCGTATGAAGTGGGTCATTCTTGTCATAGCTAACTAAATCAGAGTCAAGAAGGGGGATGGGTGGGGGAATCACTCAGGGTACAAGGTGTTGCTCCAAGCATGTAATTCTCTGCAAGCCTGACTGCTACAACTGCTTGTTGTAACCTGAAACCATTTTTATCTATAGCTTCTGAAATGACTTACTGAACCTTGAGGTCTAATTTTGCTTACCACTGTCAGCCACCAACTGGAACTTGTCACCTCCCCAAATCCTTACTAAGTGCCAATGAACTTTCTTGTCAAAGAGCAAAAAGTAACATTTCTCCTTTTTATAAAACCTCTAACCTCTTTGGACTTTGGAGAGAATATTTTTTGTTCATGCCAGACACTGTTTCTCTTTGGTTTACAAACTGATAATTGTCAATAAAACTCTCTTTTCTGCTATCTAGTCTTCCTGGTGATCCTTTGGATGATCAGTCTTGTGCTCTAATACATACCACAGTGAGCTGTGGGTATGTTAGAGAAGACCTGCTTGCTTCAGTCTATTAGGACTTTTGAGGAAATCTAGTGACTGTTGGAATTTCTGACTTGGAAGACAAATTCTCTTTCTATAGCCCAGGGTGCCATGTGAAAAGTGTTTGGGTACAATCACTTTAAAGGCTATAAAACCATGCAAGATAACTTCTATGTGCCAGGGACTGGGAGCAGGGTAAACCTAAGAAAGCCTAGGGTCAGTAGGGAAAATGGATAATTCCTATGTTGGTAAGTGCTTGGGGGTCATGGGAGCTTTTTCTTGCAGGTGAGACATTTTTCTAAACAAGTAATGACTGTTTTAAATTTGTGTGCAAAATCCCACTTTTCAGTGAGATATCAATATATAATTTCTTCTTATAACTATATGGCATTGATTCTCCAGTGCCTGAAAGAATCGTGTATTAATTCCTGTTGAGTGTTTTTCCTTTATTTGTCTTATTTAAATGATTTTTTTGGACAGAACCATGCAGGTTGTGTATGCCATATTCAAGGAGGAGATTAAGCAAATAAATCCCTTGATTATTCCCTGAGATAACTTTCTTGTTACTGATAAACCCTTAATTTAATGAGTATGCAAATATTGTTTGTTGGGGGGAAAAAAATCAGCATTTTTGTTAAGAAAGTGCTTCTTTTGAAATCATTCTGTTATTTCATTTTAGTGATGAAGTTAGCCCCTTCATCTATGACTGCACTGCTGCAGAAAAGATGTCACAAGAAAATAAAGGGTAAGATGTGGGAAAGCTTTTGCAGGACCTGGTTAATGGTTTGATTAATGGGGTCAGAGAACCTAAGAAATAATTGTTGTCTTACTTGTGGAATTCTTTGTTTCTGTTACCTGGCAGTGTAGATAAATTAAATAAATTAAATACCACCTCAGGAAAGAAATGTGAAAGTAACTTTCTTTGGGGTTTTTTTTTTTTTTTTTGAGTCGGAGTCTCACTCTGTCGCCCAGACTGGAGTGCAGTGGCACGCTCCCAAGCCACTGCAGACTCGACCTGCTGGGCTCCTGTGATCTATCCGCCTCAGCCTTCCAAGTGGCCGGAACTACAGGCGCGCACTACCATGCCCGGCTAATTTTTGATTTATTGTAGAGACAAGGTCTTACCAAGTTGCCCAGGTGGGTCTTGAACCCACGGGCTCAGGCAGTCCTCTTGCCTTGGCCTCCCAAAGTGCTGGGGTTACAGGCTGAGCCACCGAGCCTAGCCTTTTTTTAAAATTTTGAGTAAGGGTCTCACTTTTCTGTTGTCCAGGCTGTAGTGCAGTGGCATGATTATGGCTCACTGCAGCCTTGACTTCCTGGTCTTAGGCAGTTTCCCACCTCTGTCTCCCAAGTATCTGTGACTCCAAATGTGGGCCACCATGCCTGGCTTATTTTTTGATATTTTATTTAATTTTTTTTAGAGATGAGGTCTCACTGTGTTGCCCCATTGGTCTTAAATTTCTGGGCCCAAGCAGTCCTTCCACCTTGATGTCTCAAAGTGCTGGGAACAGGTACGAGACCCTGTGCCTGGCCTTCGTATTTTTTTTTTTTTTTTAGTCAGAGTCTCACTTTTACCCAGGCTGGTGTGTAGTGGCATGTGTGTGTGGCCACTGCAGCCTCCACCTTTTGGGTTCAGGTGATCCTTCCACTTCAGCCTTCCAAGTAGCTGGAATTGCAGGTACGTGCCACCACGACGACTTAAGTTTTTGATATATTGTTGGGATAAGGTCTTACCAAGTTGGTCAGGCTGGTCTCGAACCCTGGGGCTAAGGCAGTTCTCCCACCTCGGCCTCTCAAAGTGGTGGCATCACAGGTGTAAGCCACTGTACCTGGTGCAGCCTTCATATTTTTAATGTAACTTTATCCCTACCTTTGAACTTGGGCTAGTTTTTGTCCCTGGTGGGGTGGACCGTGTAATCTCTGAGGGTTCTTCTAGCTCAGGTCTTGGGTTTTGGGCATGAATACTGAGAGATTTTCTGTTTAGTTAGGTTTCGCTCTTGTAAAATTAGAGCTATTTTGAACCCTCCCATATCTTCTTAATATGACTATATTTTGGTCACATGAAACGCTTGACATTTTCTCCCTTTGTCTGCATTAGAAATTGCCAAGCTGGCCATTGCAGAATGCAGGCTTATTTCCTCAGATGAGGCCTAATTGTTTTCCTCCTCTCTTCCTCAGGGAGGACGGACCACCCTTGGTCCAGGGGAGTGGCATGATTTTGGCGTCCACCTTCTCCAAGTCTGGCAGCTATTTTGCTTTAACCGATGACAGTAAGCGTCTGATTCTTTTCCGTACAAAACCATGGCAATGTCTGAGTGTCAGGTATGAAATGCTAACGCTGGATAATTAAGATGTCACACGCACACCTGTACTTGCATGCCTATAGCCTAGTAATGGTATCCATAGTGATAAGCACTAACACAAGCACCTGCTAGGTGCCGGACACCATTTTCAGGACCTTATGTATAGTAATGGATCTAATTCTCATAGTAGCCCCAGGAGGGTGGCAGGAGTGTGATTCTCTTCCACATTTGGCGGTGAGGAGTTAGGTAGCCAATCTCAGGTCATTGGGCTTGGAAAGACAAGAGCCTGTGACTGGTCACTCTTTCTGCAGTGTTTATGCTCCTGCCTTCCAGAGAGTTCCTGTCTTTATGATGAACAGAAACAAAGGTCATCAGCCTGTATTGTTAGGGTGGGGAGTGGACCCATGTGAATGGGGCGGTCATAGCTTGGGCCAGGATGTAGAGACTGCTGGGCCTCGCTTTTCCTTCTGACCTGGCAAGGTCCTATAAATGTTCTTCTGTCTCCCTGTTCCTCTTCTGGAGTATTCTCCATCAATTCTGAAAGGGAGGGAACTGTGCCTCAGCCTTTTCTCACTCCTACCTTGTCCATGGGAGAGGAGGTGGGGAGCACTGTGGTGTGCTGGGTTCTGGGCAGATTGACATTTTTGAGTTCTGACAGTGTTCTTCATCTCCTTAATAGGGTGAGGGCAAGATCATTCTGATTATTCTGTCACACTGCTGTAAACACACACGAAGCAGAATCAGCCTGGGCCCTCAGTCTTGCCTCCTGAAACTTCGTGGTTTAACTGTCCTTTGGTAGTCAGATAAACTTGAGGGTTATACTGTTTGAACTGCAGAGGGTAGGAAGTTTCCCTTCATAGCGGGGGTTTAGCTGAGCTTTCTAGATTTTTATTTCATCTCATTTTCTAAAAGAAGGATAAAAAACCAAATTCTAGGTGGCATCAAAAGTAAGGAACGGTCAGGCACAGTGGCTCCTGTCTGTAATCCTAACACTTTGGGAGGCCAAGGGGGGAAGGATTGCTTGAGTTCAGGAGCTTGACACCTGCCTGGGCAACAGGCTGTGTCCTCACAGGTTCATTCTGCCTTCTGTGTATGTGTTCTTATCTTTTCTTACAGAGACACCCATCAGATCAGGGCCACCTATGACCTGTGTATCACCTGGCTATTCCGTGATTCATTCTTTTTTTTTTTTTTTGAGTTGGAGTCTCACTCTGTTGCCCAGACTGGAGTGCAGTGGCCGCTCCTGGCCTCCGCAGCCTCCACCTGCTGGGCTCTGGCGATCCTTCTGTCTCAGCCTTCCGAGTAGCCAGAACTACAGGCATACGCTACCACGCCCAGCTGATTTTTGATTTATTGCAGAGATGAGGTCTCACCAAGTTGCCCAGGCGGGTGTCGAACTCGCGGGCTCAGGCAATTCACTCACCTCAGCCTCCCAAGGTGCGGGATTACAGGCTGAGCCACCGAGCCTGGCTTGTTCTGTGATTCTTACATGCTCCCAGGTGACCACAGTGCTGCTGGGCTGTGGACCACTATGCTTTGAATAGCACAACATAATAGAATTCATATTGCCCTTTGACCCACTCCCTCCCTGAATCTTGTGAATCTGCAACTGACCACCCTGCATGGCAAAGGGACCCAAGCAGTGACCAGAAGACTCAAAGGTGTTTGCCTGGGGAAGAGGAGACCTGGATATCTTCTAGGACTGAAGGACTGTGTGAGGAGAACTAGGCTCTAGAGGCGTCCACAGGCACATTTGGAATCGATGGTAGAGAGAGGGAGGTTATGGCAGCACAGCCTGTAGATGAAAGAGTTAGAATTCAGAGAGGTGATGTGGCTTTGTGGGATTCCATCGTGTGGATCTGTAGCATTTCTTTTAGCTGCCCCTCACTTGGTGGTAAACATTTTTGCTTACATTTTGCTTGTCTTGATGTTTAAAAAAAGTGCTTCAGTGAATAATCATATACAGGCTGGTGTGATGGCTCACGCCTGGCATGTAATCCCAGCACTTTGTGAGGCTGAGGCAGGATTGCCTGAGCCTAGGAATTCGAGACCAGCCTGGGCAATATAGCAAGGCTTTGTCTCTACCAAAAGTAAAAACAATTAGCTGGGTATAGTGGCATGCACCAGTGGCCCCAGCTACTCTGGAGACTGAGGTGGGAGGATAGCGCTAGGCATTTAAGACTGTGCAAGCCGAGCTCGGTGGCTCAGCCCTAATCCCGCGCTTTGGGAGGCTGAGGTGAGTGGATTGCCTGAGCCCGTGGGTTCGAGACCTGCCTGGGCAACTTGGTGAGACCTCATCTCTATAATAAATCACAAATTAGCCGGGTGTGGTAGTGCATGCCTGTAGTTCCAGCTACTTGGAAGGCTGAGGCGGAAGGATTGCTGGAGCCCAGCAGGTCGAGGTTGCAGTGGCCAGGAGCGGTCACTGCACTCCAGTCTGGGCGACAGAGTGAGACTCAAACTCAAAAAAAAAAAAAAAAAAAAAGACTGTGCTGAGCTGTGATTGTGCCACTGCACTCCAGCCTGGGTGACAAAGTAAGACCACAATTGAAAAAAATAAAAGAAAAAAATCACACACAGAAGTAATATTTCCCATTTTTTTAAACATCAAGAGTAAATCTGTAGGAGAAGCTCCCCCAAATGAATTGTCAGTTCAAAAGGCGTGTGTATTTGTCATTTAAATAGGTAGTCCCAAATTACCTTCCAAAGGGGTCTACTTCCCAGAGTTTGAATGCCTCTTTCTCTTGCCATGGGAGATAAATGGTTTTATCAAACTATATAATCCTAGATAGTCTGATAGAATAAAAATGGTATCTTTATACTTATTATGAAGCAGGGCAACTTCTTCTATGCTTAGCACACCACTGATGTGAATTTTATGTCTTTGCAAATTCTGTTTCTGAATGCTGCAGTGTTGTCATATGAATGTGTTATATTTTGCTTGAAAATGAATAGTAAGACAAGGAGAAAGTTAATTGAGATAATTATCTGATATTGACTATGCAATATTGTTTTTGATTTATGTAGTTGGTAAAAATTGCAAGGTAGTCATTATTTTGTTGCGATATGTGATGTATAATTGTATTTTGATACTTTAGGGCTTTCATTCTTTAAAGTTAAAAATAATTTACCATAATTTTGGAAAATGAAGAAATATATGCTGATGAGATTTCTGAGGTCGAAGGTGAATCCAAGTGAACTTATTAGTGATGGTGAGACAGATAGTGATGTAATGATGCAATGTAAATGAAGAGATATAACACAGATAATCAATGACAGTGAATCTAGTACTGGTGAGAATGAATCAGACATTGAGTGGACATATATGATCCAAAAAGAAACTTAGAAGTGTTTATTTGCAATTCAAGGGTCAAGATATTTCCAAATGGTCCTCAAAGTGTAAGTGAAGTTGTTGGGCTATTTATTGGAGATGAATTTTTTTTTTTGAGTTGGAGTCTCGCTCTGTCACCCAGACTGGAGTGCAGTAGCCGCTCCCAGCCGCTGCAGCCTCGACTTGCTAGGCTCCAGCAATCCTTCCGCCTCAGTCTTCCAAGTAGCCAGAATTACAGGCATGTGCTACCATGCTCAGCTGATTTTTTGATTTATTGTAGA